AGAAACCACCAATAGAATGAAGAGACAATCCACAGTGTAGGAAAAAAATTTTGCCAGCTGTGGTGGCACACGCCTATAATCCCAGCACTCGGGAGGCTGAGGCAGGGGGATCACTGTGAGTTCGAGACCAGTCTGGGCTTCATAGTAAATTCCAGGTCAGTCTCAACTACATAGTGAGACCCTGTCTCAAAAAACAAACAAACAAACAACAACAAAAAAAGACTAATACCCAGAATATATACAGAACTCAAATCAGACCCTGCAAATTTAAAGACCCAACCCAAAAATGGGCATCTGAAATGAATAGACATTTCTCAGATGAAGAAATAGAAATGGCAAATAAATACATTAAAAATGTTCAATATCGCTGGTCATTTGAGAGATGCAAATTAAAACAATACTGAGATTCTACCTCAACCCTGAAAGAATGTCAACATTTTATCAAGAAATCAACCAATAGGGCAGGGATTTAGCTCAGTGGTTCTGCTGCTGGCCTTGCAAGTGCAAGGACCCAAGTTTGATAACCGGTACCAAAGAAGAAAAAGAACAAAAAAAAAGAAATCAACCAATAACAAATGCTGGAGGGGTTTGGGAAAACGGAACCCCTTTCCACTGTTGGGAGGAGTTTATACCAGTTCAAAAACTGGAAATCAGTGTGGAGATTTCTCAAAGGAGTAAAACTAACAGTCTCATTTGACCCAGCTATTCTCCTTCTTGATATCTTCCCAAACAAATTAAAAGCAGAATTCGATGGCGATATATGCACACCCATGTTTATAGAGGCACAGTCTGTAATAGCTAAATCTTGGAAACAGCTCCAATGCCCATCAGCTGAAGAGTGGATAAAGAAGATGTGGAGTTTTTATACAATGGAGTCCTACTCTGCCATAAACAAGGATGAGCTTGAGACATTTCTAGCTAAATGGATGCACCTTGAGACCACTCTCTTAAGTAAAATAAGTCAGACACACATGTTTAAATACTGCATGTTTTTCTGGTATGAGAAACCAAAAGTGTAAATAAGGATGAAAATGTATAATGAATATTGAGAAATGGGAATAAAATGTTCAAACAAGAAGGGGAACAAGAAGCGAGAGAGGGACAAGAAAAAAAAAGAGAATGGAAGGAAAAAATGGAAACAAAGCTTTTATAAATAAGGAGGGGAGGAAGGGTTGAAGGAGGGAATGGTTTAAAAAAAAGAAGCAAGATATATCATGTACAGATACAAGTTTCCTGTTATGCTTGTTATTATGTATATTTAAAATGTACCAATAACAAACCAAACAAAAGCCAGATAAGACAAGGCAGCAAAATGCCTCCAGAACTCCCAACTCCTCCAAAGCTGTCCTAGAGTCACCAAAGGGAAGGAAATCAAAATAAACACAGCTAAATTATTTGAGATGATAGGATATTTAAAAACAAACAAAAACAAGGTGCTCAGCAAGTACGAAATAGAACTAAACAGATAACGGATTTAAGAAGCAAAACAATCAGCATGATTATAGAATGGACTAACCAAAGGCTAGCTGAGCTAAACAAAACAGGCACGAGCAGTTTAGTGAAGAATTTGGGAACATGAGCAGATGCCAGACAGAAATCCAGGAGGTTAATAATTCTGCTGAGAAGGGCCGGAGATTTTGGCTCAGTGGTTCTGACACCTGCCTTGCAAGCGCAAGGGCCCAAGTTCAATCCCTGGTACAAAAAAAAAAAAAAAAAAAAAAATCTACTAAGAGAGCTGTGTCCCCCATGGACTGGATGGACCCATACCTGCTGTGGAGCAGATGGAGATGCACCTTGGTCTCTACCAACTCTGTGCCTGTGGATTCTGCATCCTGGCCACAACTATCGTCCAACTGTAAAGTGGTTCCATGTTTTTCCTTCCCTTGGCATGGGACAGTAGAGTCACAGACTAATTAACCTACCTGATCCTGGATAAAGTAAGCCTGAAGGGCCAGCAGGCCCAGGGAGAAAGCCAAAGGCTTTCAAGATTTCAGCAAAGTGACTGGGTAAGAGATGACCGTGAGAGACCACCCCAGAGAGGGCCCAGGTTAGACATAAACCCACTGAGAATTTTAATCTCAGGCTAGGAAGGAAACGGGCCCTGCCCACCATAGTGAGATACAAGACCTAGTGAGTGTTTTTGGTTTTTTTTTTTGTTTTTTGTTTTTTGTGTTTTTTTTGGTACCGGGGATTGAACTCGGGTCCTTGCGCTTGCAAGGCGGGCTACCGAACGGCTGAGCTAAATCCCTGGCCCAAGACCTAGTGAGTGTTGACATTAAGTCCAACTGTCTGCTTGAACCCTAACCCTATGGCCTGCATTTAGCAGGTACTAGAGGACTGCTTTTCCCATCTGCCAATTTAAGCAAGGACATGTCTCAGCCTGTATGGTTACCACATTCTGGGGCGCATGGAAAGAGGGTCCTCTAGTGCAGGGAAGGCACTTCACAAATCCACAGGCCGTAAAGCTAGTGCAGAAAATCATGGCATGCTGGATTCCAAGAATGCAGGTCCTGGAAAGAAACCACCCACTCAAAAACACAGAGGGAGGGCCGGGGATTTAGCTCAGTAATGCAGCCGCCTGCCTCAAAAGTGCAAGGTCCCAAGTTCAATCCCTGGTACAAATAAAACAATAAAAACAAAACAAAAACAGAGGAAAAGAACAAAAATAAAAAGAGAAAAGAATAAAAAGAAAACATAAAAGGCAGAGGGACACAGAGGAAAGCTGGGCATGGTGGTACATGGCCATAATCCCAGTGCTTGGGAGGTTGGAGCAGAATTGCCATGAGTTCGAGGCCAGCCTGAGCCACAAAGTGAGTTCAAGGCCAGCCTGAACTACATAGCAAGACCTTGTATAGAAACGAATAAACACACAAAAAATAAACAAAAAAACCACCCCCAAACCTAAAAACTGCACACTCGCTTTGGCAGTACATGTACCAAAACCAAAAACTCTCCGCCAAAAACAAAACAACAATAACAACAACATATCCCAAAATAACAAAACAAACAAACAAAAACCTTAGAGGACTTTTTGACATAATCTTGCCTTTATTTTATTTATTTATTTTGAGATAGGGTCTCACTATGTAGTTCAGGCTGTAACTGAACTCACCATGTAGCCCAAGCTGGCCTCAAACGTGTAGCAATCCTTTTCCCAAGCTGCCCAAGTGCTTGGATTACAGGTGTGCACCACCATACCACATGGCAATAATCTTATTTTAAATTTTTAAATGTTTTTTCAGGCGTGGTGGTGCACACCTGTATTCCCAGCACTTGGGAAGCTGAGGCAGGAGGATCACTATGAGTTTGAGGCCAGCCTCTGCTACACAAGTGAGTTCAAGGCCAGCCTGAACTGCATAGTGAGACCTTGTCTTGAAAAAAAACCCCAATAAATAAATACATAAATAAAAATGTAAATGTTTTGTTATTTCTCTCTTCATCTGTTTTTTTTGGGGGGGTATTGGGGTTTCTCTTCCCCCTTTTCCTCTTTTGACTTTTTGATTTTTTTTCTTCCTCATATCCTTCATTTTCTGTATTTTGTTCTTTGTTTTTTCTTTTTCTTCTTTTTTATTTATTCTTTTCTGTGATTGTCTTCTAATAATATTATTTTCCTTTACTCCTCAATAAGAATCTCTACCCAATTTTCTCTCCTTCTTGTCATCTTCCATTGATCAATTTTTCAAATCTGGCTTTTTTCACTCCTCAGTTCCCTACCCACTCTTACCTTTACTAGTACAACAATTAAGTTTTTTGAATCTTTAGATAACTAGTTAACTCTATACTGTTGCTGTTGAAAACCTTTTTTGTGTTAACGGGGGTAAAGTTATTCCATTTAGTAGATATTTACTGTAGGTCAGCATTTGGTTTGTCTTAGTATTTATACTATAATTATAGATCTTATTTCTCTGGTTACATGTGGTACATTACTGGTTTGTAGGGCATATCAATATCGAGTTTATCTTAGATTCTATTACTATTCCTGATTTTATTAGAATAGCCAGGTAATACAATTGTTGCTATTAACTATTGCTATTAATTTCTCTGAATGCTAATGTCTGGATTGCCTTGTATCACTAATAATACTCAGTCCATTCCTAGAAAACTGGGTCCTAAGCCAAGTATACTGCTCTTCCCCCTCCCAAATGAATGCAGGTGGTCGGATCTTAGGGCAGAGGCAAGGGCCTGTACTTAGCTGCACCTGGAGGGTATCACTGAAAAACAACATTAACTGAGGAGGTCTCCATGTTAGCCACAAAGCTTTCCAGTATAATCAAACCTCAGCACAAAAACCAAACAAACAGAACACAGAAACACAAGAAGACATGGGAAGACAAAGTCTCCAAAAACTACCGACTCCCCCCAACACTGAACCAGGGGCATCGAAGGGGAAGAAATCAAAATCCACATGGCCAGTTTATTCAAAAGGATAACGGGAGATCACAAAAAGATCAATAAAATGCTGGGCAAACTCAAGGAAGATGTAACTAAATAGATCATAGGCCTGGTAAACAAAATGGTCAGCCAATCTGCAGAAGACACTAATAAAAAATCTAGCTGAGCTAAACAAAACAATATAAATATAAACAAAACATGAAT